GTGTTTGCTAATTATTATTGAAATATCAGTTGCTTGTAGGGTTCAGGGGATCTCGAAGTCGAGCAGTCTCGACTAGAGCTTTCTTACTTGTTATATCAGTATCCATCCATATCAGTTCCAAAAGAGAATATATATTGAACCTAGTGGGTTCAGTATATTTTACCAGTGGGATGCCTCAAGACCTACTATCTAATAAGCCCTCTAAATATCTTTTCTTTCATAATAAATACATACTTAAGTATCCTATATTCAATTAATATAACTTTTAGTATATAAATTAAAGGTAAAGGTAGCGGTAGGTTAACCAATAAATAAATATATTTTATAAACAAATATATATAATCTATTTTTATTATATCTCTACCGCTCCGTATCAGTTCCAAAAAAGCAGCGAACATGCTCTGTTCTCGAATTCTGTAGTCGACGTTTTCACACAACTGACGCAATGCTTCGATGTTGTTAGCAAACTCGAGTGTCCAGATCCAGAAATTTGGAAACGTTACATGAGGCGTTTTGCTAAAACAATCGTTAAAGTTCTAATTGCCTATGCTGATATTGTGAAAATGGAGTTTCCAGAGCATATGAGGGACGAACGAATTGTAAGTACAATCGCCATCGAACCTAACAACAAAACTTTCAGCCAGTTCTTCAATATATCTATGTGTATCACAAATATCTTAATGATTTGTATCTTTCTTTTGCCTTAGGCCTGCATTCTGATGAACAACATACAACAGTTAAGGGTTCAATTGGAGAAAATGTTCGAGTCCATGGGTGGGGATAAGTTGGAGGAGGATGCAGCCAACATTTTAAAAGAACTACAGCAGAACCTTAACTCAGCCCTGGACGATTTGGCTTCACTGTTTGCCATAAGGTTTTTTGCCTTTAACGCTCATATCTATACGATTATTTAATTCATTTATTTGTTCACAGTTTGGAGCCACGTATAACACAATCGGTGCGTGAGCTTGGCGACATGCTTCTGTCGATTAAAGGAGGCAGCGGAAATCTTACAGCCGGAAATCAGGCAATCCAGCGAAATGCAGTAGCTGTGGAGGCTGATGATGTATTGAGGCCTCTAATGGACTTACTTGATGGATCTTTAACTTTGTATGCCCAGTCGTGCGAGAAGACAGTACTGAAGCGCTTGCTTAAAGAACTTTGGAAAATAGTGATGCGAATTTTGGAAAAAACTATTGTTCTGCCACCAATGACTGACAAAACTGTGAGTGGCAAATCAATAGACATTTATAGCCTGTCCTATATTGACTTTTAATATATCTATCTAGATGATGTTCAAACACTTGACGGATAATGCAAAGAATTTGGCATCAAACGCCAAAATAGAAGACATGGGACGTTTATTCAAGTCACATATGGCAGGAAAACAGGATGTGAAAAGTGCTCTTAGCGGCGTTATGGATATATCAAAGGAAGTAGAAAAGAACCTATCTCCTAAACAATGTGCCGTACTTGACGTTGCCTTAGATACAATTAAACAATATTTCCACGCTGGTGGTAATGGGCTCAAGAAGACATTTTTAGAAAAGTCCGCTGAGTTGCAGAGCTTGCGATATGCACTTAGCTTGTATACGCAAATGACAGACACTCTGATTAAAACATTCATCTCAAGTCAGGTGCATGAAGGTGAGCTCACTTTTTTATACTCATTCACGAAAGGGAATTAATATTTTGGTTTTTTGCAACATCCGTCTTGTCTGTCAGTCTGTCCGTATGAACGCAATCTTTTTCCGCGCTATTGAAGCTAGAGACTTGAAATTAGGAACACATACTTGTGTATATCTCAGATCTATAAAGCTTTAAAATTTTCCCGAATCGCCCACTAAGGGCGTGGCAATGAATATATAGTGATTTTTCAAATTCTGCTATATTTTGGACACTTGATGCTAGATACCTCAAATTTGGTATATTATTCGGGCTGACCTCCCAATACGAAAAGCTATAGCGGATATTTGTCCGCACATAGGGGGCGTGGCAAACCGTATAAGTTTATATCTCCTAAAGTACAATAGCTAGATGCTTGGATAGTTAAGTTATTTCGATAACCCAAAAATAGTTTTTACCCCTCTGTAGGGAGCGTAAGCACTCAAATTTTGCCGTTAGCTCGTTCTAAAAATTGACTAAAAATGATGTGTTTACGTCAAGTAGGTAAGTGGCAAATCGGGAAACCTGAATTTTCTACAGTATTAGAGCTAAACTCAGGTACTAGAATTACTGATGAAATGTGAATGAGTATTTTGCAGTCGATAACGCCCGACTGCAACGTCTTATTTGTTTTACCCTAAACCTATTGAAAATGGCAGATCAGGATACACTGTTTATATAAGAAGCAGAGGGAGGAATGGTAGACCACATAATGTATATATATTATTAATTAGGAAGACGAGCTGAGCTGCTCTATACATGTAGAGATACAAATTCTAGAGACTTAACATTTAATTATATACCATACACATTTCGAATTTATCATATTTTTTCGATAAATCATCCAATTTTTTTTATCGACAGTAATTTGATTTCTGTTTATATGCATAATTTTTATATTGTTAGATTTAGAGACTGTGTACAACTGAAATTGCGAATACTAGAACTTGTAAATTATAGATTTTGGATAGCACGCCTTCTTTACTTTTTCAAATTTTAAAGACCAAGCCCAAGCTAGTACTGCTCGACTACTAGATCTCCAGAACCCTTCGAGGAACTGATACTTCACTAAAGTGTAATGAGTATATTGGTTTTGTCCACGTCCGTCCATCTGTCCAAATGAACGATTTTTTTTTCTGCGCTTTTGAAACTATATTCATGAAATTTGGAACACATGCTCGTAGATATCCCCGATTTATAAAGTATTAAAATTTTCCCTATCTACCCACTAGGTGCGTGGCAAATCGCAAAATGGATTTTATGAGCTAATGTTATGTTTCTATAAAGTTCGACGATGAAATTACATGTCCATGTCCACTATGGACGTGGAGAATCGGATCTGAAGAAGTAGAAAAAAAAAACTAATTGTTAGACAGCTTTCATTAAATTTTCAGATCGTGATAACATTGAAATGCGTGTATAACAATAAATAACAAGAGTAGTTATCGAATTTCGGAAACGATCTCGATATCCGCGCTGTATTTATAGACTTTCAAACCAAGTCTCCAGCTCTTATTACTTCTAGGATCAACACGTTCAAACATATATGCAGACAGATAGACGGACAAAGCTGAATCGACTCAGCTCGACCCCGTGATCAAGAATATATATTCTTTGTGGGGTTTGCCTTCTGTCTTTTAAATATATATCAACAAAACAATTATACCCTAATCTCACATTTTCACTGGATTCAGGGTATAAAAAGTAAATATTCGTTGAATATTTTTCAGTTGATCCAGAAAACGCAGAAGAAAGTGTAGGTGAAATATCTGTGCAAATAGATCTCTTTTCACATCCGGGCACAGGAGAGCACAAAGTTAACGTGAAAGGTAAGTCAAATTGGTACATTATATTATATATGTATGTACTCATTCATGAAAGTGAATGGATTTGTCCCTCTTACTCGAAATATTGAATAGTAAAGTGTTTTCCTGAACCGTCTATTGTATTCTCGCGTTGACCACCCAAGATCAAAGAGGTATGGGGAACATGACTACGTTTAAAGATCACTGAATGAATCATGAATGAATACACTTGACTATGATGGTGTTTAGTTTCGTATTGATCTTTATTAT